ATCAGTGCTAGATAAGAATCAACAGAATTTAAGGGAGGACTGGACTTGACTTGTGGGAATGTAACAACTCCAGACTTATTTCTCTCTTGATCCTGCCCCTAACTTTGCCTCTTTTCCTACACCTTTCAATTTATGATGTTTCACTTATTTCTGTGACACTCCATCATAATAAATATTTTTGTTCTGTTCCAGTTTCCTCTTTTCTTACATCCACTTTCAATTCATTCTGCTGAGTGTATCTATCTTGAAATATTTTTTTAACTAAAGAAACCATAGCATTTTTCCCTGAAGTTATACCATTTTAAATCTAGTTTTTTTCATTGCTTTCTCCCAGGTCCATATTTAGATGAGGTTTTCTCTTCATATTGCCCAAAAGCTGTCTTTCCCGCATTTGGAACTTTATACCTCCCTTATTTCTTTGAAAAATTCTTTCATATTTCTTCATAAACAGAGAAATCTATACTACCCTACATTAATTCCCTATATATGTGAATGGCTAGAGAGTATAATGCTTAGAGCACCACTCTTTGATGTTAAAGGCTTGGGTTTGAATCTGGGCTGGCACCTACATTACCAGTAGGGGTTTTTGGGCTCCTAATACTTAATTAATGCTTCATGTGTTTAAAGAGTGACACCAACTGTGCCGCTTGGATGTCTCCCAGATTAACAAAGTCATGTGAGATAAGCATGGATAAGTAGGCTACTGGGGGAAACCATACAAGTAAGACAAGATAACCTGAAATTAATTGAACATTACTACAATGGCAAACCTAATGAGAGGGAATATATGAAAAGTATGAAAGAACTATGGATAGACAGAAGACCTCCCTCCCTGCTGAGAAAGCTAATGCTGTAACATAGGGAAGAAGCTGTTTTCACAACTGGAGATAGACCAACTACACATTGCATCCTAGACCCAAGATCTGAAGGAACAACTAGAAGTGCAGTCAATACCTGAAGCTGGAATGCCATCCCTTCCATTATAGAGCAGGCAGCTGATATGAGGCATAAAACAGTAGATAAACTAGCTACAGTCAAGCCTTGAGACCAGTTACCAAAGTTTAATGGGAATACTATCAGATAGTATGCTAGGAGATTGCAATTGAGCCCTCAGGACAATCCCTATTACCACAATAACTCAAACCAATGAATTAGTATACCCTATAGTCTCTGTACTCCTGAAAATTCTTGTGCACACAATCAAGAAAAAAATCAGTACATACTACCCACTCACCCACCCCCACCTATGGAAAATGAAATTGAAGGCTAAGATCAAGATGACTCAGAAGGTAATCAGATGAAGCCCTTGAGACTGCTAAACAAAGGCTTAGGACACTGGCTACTAGGCTAAGATGATACACTAGAGAAGAAGAGGTCAAGAAGATAAATGCACTGTTCACTGAAGAACCCAGCTGCAATGCAACAACACAGTGACAGCAGAGCCAACAGCAGAACAATAGTGGAAGAACATGGGAGAAAACGAAGACACATAACACCCAAAGTGGCTGCAGGAACTGAGAGCAGAGAGCTTCCTGTTCTGAGAAGACAGCAGTCTCCCAGAATAGGAAGCAGTCATCATCACAGTAACGGATATCCAACAACAAGTCAAGAACATGAAGATCTGGAAAGCACTTAGCCTGGACATGATCCATACCTATTGACTAAAGAAACTAGCCACAGTGAATGAACTCCTAGCAGAGCAGACAAATTAGCTTCTAGCAGCAGTCTCCCACCCAGACTGGCTAACACAAAGAAAGACAGTGCTGATTATGAAAGATCCCATCAGGTAACAGCACCATCAAACTACGGGCCAGTAACCTGGCTCCCAACAACATGGAAAGTCCTGCCAGGCATCATAGCTGCCAAGCTACATACAGTAGCTATATGGGCCAGTACATGAGCAATAGTTCAGAAGGGCATTGGGAACAACATTAGAGACTCAAAACAACAGTTGCTCATAGATAGAGCAGTTGCCTAAGAATCAAGGTCTGGACTAGTGATGACAAATCTATAACATACGTGCCAAAGGTGACATTTTGGGTGACATGCCAGTATTCACTAACACCCAACTATTTTTGAAAGTACTCCCTGTTCTTACGTAAGTTTAATGTCTAGATTAATTTATTATTTTTCCAAAATTTATAATAATAATTCAAAACCAGCTTTTAAAGATGACTGAATGAAAAGCATACATTGTTTCTTGTGTGTCTATTTCAATTTCTGATGTGTTGCTGGAACGGAGGATAAAATATTTCTGATGATATTTATATTTATTGCACTACCTTTTCAGAATAGCCAAAAGGAGCTATATTCAGTGGATAAGCTTAACATTTATTTAATTAAATTGTTTAATAATCACATCAACAGAAGTATTTAACTTCACCAACAATGTATTTTGAAAGTATAAGATTTTGCTTGTTCAAAGAATTATAATATGTTTAAAAGATGTGAAACTCCCTGGCTTTATTGACATTGCTTACTAATATTAAGCAGTTTCTCAGATGTATTAATTCATTTCTGTGCCCCAGTTCTTTTTTGTTCTAGTCCAGATGACTTTTCCCCTACTTCTACTATCAGCTATCACTGCAGGGTGTCTGTTTCAAAATTCCCAGAAGCCCTAATTAGTAATGAAGATGTTAGTGACATGAATGCTCCTAGCAACAGTTCTTCAGCTCTCCTTGGTGAGCAATATGTAGGATTTCACTGAATTAAAGCTGGCATATAACATATTAGGCCATTAAGGATATATTTAATAGCACAACTTGTGGACTGTCTTTAACAGATTTCGCAATCTGACCATGGCAGAGTGGTGAATTACAGTATGCCCAGTCACATTTCACAATGGTGTGAGGAGGGTAGAGAAAACAATTGCATAAAAGTGATCATGATTTTCAATTTCTAATCGACTGGGGATTCTAACAGCTTCCTCTGTTGTAGTAAAAGAAAAAGACGGTAATTTACTTTCGCTAAATCGAGTGTCCATGCAGTGGTTTGAGGAAATATTGGGAGAAGATTTTGTTGAAGATGAAAACAGAGAATTACTTAACATGCAAAACTGTAGGGCGAGATATGTGTGTATGCAGGAGTGTGGGTGTTAAAGCTATCCTGCATTTCATATTATGATTTCTGTGGCTGAGTCACGGCAGACAGAAGACCAGAGAAGTCATGTAACTAAGCATGTGAATCACCCAAACAGCAGGAATACAAAGTGACAGTGAAGCACTGTTCAGAAGCCCATGTTTTCTCTCTGCCAATATCCTCTCACTCACTCCTTGGAAGCATGTCAGGCTGAAATCGACTGCATCAAAATTGAAAGTCTTCTCCGTGGAACTGCTTCTTCTTTACAAGTTGTGAGTGCGATGCTTCCAACAGAATCAAGTAGAGTAGTTTGGTGTGGTTGTGCAAGCAGGAATTGAAATTAAGGCATTGCTTGACACTACACTCTTAGGCTGCTTGCAGCAAACATTTCTTTGTGGATTCATGTGTTTGATCTGCTTGGCTGTATAACGGTGATGGTTGCCAGTCTTGTTTCCTATGTTTGTAGGTTTCCTAAGTGTTTGCTCCCATAAATATTGCTTTCTTCCATATGAGATAAAATGTAACGTGAACTTCTAAAAAAAGAAAAATGACATTGACAGAGGAAGTTGGTCAGGGAGGAAATAAATGAACAATTCAGTCACTAGGGTAATTCTTTAAGGAGTGATGATGAGGAAACCTAACAGCAGGGATATCCAGTGGAAGCCTTGGAGTTACTGGATTGGGGTAATAGATCTGATACACAACGAATTTTAAAACTTGGCTTGCCCTGAATAGTTTTTTGAGATTTGATCTGCCTTAGATTAAATCAATGAGGTAATATGCTTCAGTAAAGTGTGGAAAGATTTTAAGAGTATGAAAGTTACTCAACAACTTTTAAACAAAATAACATTTAAATTATTATTTAAAATAAGAGACATTTTATAAATTAGCTTCTGACCAATGTGAATGTAAAATAGCTTTCAAATACCAATTGTACAGGTTTTATTTGTCCCAGTGATTATCTGCCGGATGTGGCTTCTGAGTAGAAAGAAGACACAAACTACAGATAAAATAATGTGGATTTTTTATTTGTGACTTTTCATGCTACTTCCTTTTATTCGTGGTACCTATAAGTATTTAAATTGAAAAGATGAAGAGAGTTTAGAAAAAATACATTCTTAGGAAAATGCATTTAAAATGTAACATTCATGATGTACATTTTATGTATCAATTTTGATGCCAGATATCTGGCTACACCTAAGTTTGGGCACTTCCATGGGATGCCTTTGTGTCACGCCCAGAACCTCTTTGCCTTCTAGTGTTTTCTTGTTGGTGTCCTCTTGGTAACTGAATTGTCTTACTTTTGTCTATGGAGATTCTTAGTCATCCCGGTCATGGTTGTCCCAAAGGTGCTTTTTCAAGAGGCAACTGGACTTTCTGGTTTTTCTTTGAAAATGTTTTGCTTCTTGTCCAAGACGTTTCTTCAAATTACTGTTTTACTTTTGGTTCACCTGCAATTTCAACTGTCCTGCTCTGTCCTGCTCATCTTCAGCTGGAGATCTCAAGAATTAGAAAATGTGCAATTTTTTCATTAAGGGGAGCTCTTTGGTCTTATCCTTCCTCACTTTAATGTGTGAGTTAGAGTCACAAGCCTTGGCTTGTAAAAAAAATGCTGGCCTCATATTTTCATATCTTCTTTTTGGCAACCAAGGCAAAATGAGGTGGCAGATTGACAAGATATAGTTAGTTTTTAACCTTCTCTTCACATCTGTAAAGAAAGAAGCTGCTTGGATTATTTTTCTCGCTTTGAGTGAATTTTGGTTGCTATAGGAGCTGTCACAGCTTGGCTTCCTGATTATGTTTATAGATTGTGAAATTCTGAATAAATAAAAAATTCTGATGAAAATAATTTTAATTATTTAAAGAACACAAATCTACTGGTTATAAATTTATGGCTCACCATTCTTTTTCATTTTTTACAGAAAAACTATGGAAAGGCAGATGAAGACTGTAGGCATGGTATGCATATTATTATTTCTTCAAATGTCTAAACACTAAGAAATGATTTTTCATTTAATCTGCAAGTGAAATAGAACTGTTCAATTATGGGTCCTGTCTGAAATGCTTGCTTAGATTACAGTTCTGCCCCGGGCTCAGATTTCTTTTATCTGACCATTGTTTTCATAGTAGCTCTTCCTCCTGTTCCTCAAACTTATTCTTTCTACCAATTACAATAATTGACATTTGCACAGATGGAGGTAATCTGTTACACATAATATTGTTAAGAGAATGAAATAGAAATGGATGTTAAATGCAAAATAAGCCTGACTATTAAAGACTATTCTTGCTTTAATGTGCTATTTCCTATACATTTAAATATCATTAATTCCCCCAAAAATATTATTGTAAAATAATTAATGGGTGTTACTCTGCAAGATTGTCCCTTTCTTCTGAGATTTATAAATGGTGCAATTTAAATTAATTCTTGTTATTTGCTACTAGAAAGGAAACAAATAGATATAATCTATTATTTGTATTCAAATCTCTGTTTTTAATCTGGGGAAATTAGTCTTCGTTTTTTACATCATTTAATCCTAGATGTAATTGATATCTGTAGCATCTATAATTGCTTGTTCTTTACAAATTATGGATAGTTTTTCCAAGATGGAGATATACGGTGTCACGTTCCGGCGTCCACTCATCCCCTTCTTGGATCCTGATAATAAGTCTCCCTCAGATCTAACTTAGTGAAAATCACTCCCTCAGATAAACGGGCCAGCATATCCTTTTTGAGTGGCAGCGGGTACATATGGTCTACGCACACTCCGTTTATACCCCGAAAGTCTATACATATATGCAGACCACCATCCTTTTTCTCTCTGAATAACACAGGGACTGCAATAGAGGATCTTGCTGGCTGTATAAAATCCCGTGCCAAGTTCTTGTCAATATATTTTCTCATCTCCTCTAACTCTTTGGATATCATATAGTATAACCTTGGCTTGGGGAGCTTGGCTCCTGGCATGATTTCGATAGCACAGTCAGTAGAATGGTGTGGAGGGAGGATGTTGCACTCTTTTTCATTAAAAACCTCAGCTAAATCGGTGTATTCCTCTGGGACCCCTACTAATTGGTCCATACCCTTCAACATCTCTAGTTCCTGCTGCTGACCATTCCCTGTGAGCCAACTTCCTGTGCTTAGCTGTTCATGTGGCAGTGGTTCAGGGCCCACCCCAATGTGTATACACTGACAACCCCCCCCCCATATGAGGGGGACCTACTTATCCAGCCATGCAAGGACAAGTATCACAGTTTCCGTCATCTGTGGCACTACGATAAACCAGATTAACTCCCAATGGTCCCCAAGCTCGAGTTTGATTTTCTCTGTAATCTGGGTAGCTGGTGCCCCACCCAACACTGACCCATCTACTTGTTCAAACCGTAGGGGACGAGACAGGTTTTGAACTTTTATCCCCAGTTGCCTCACCATGCTTAGACTTATGAGGCAACAAGTACTCCCAGAATCAATTATGGTGTCATACGTCCAAGGCCTCTGAGCAGTGAGGATAACAGGCACACAGAAGGGTTTTATTGGCCTACTCACCATAGGGTCATTTTCACCCTCTTCATCAGTTTCTCACCCTTCCGCTGGAGGACTTGCATATGCTAGATCTCGAGAGTCATCAACCCCCACTGTGGAGTTTTCAGTGGCAGCTTGCTGAATGCCCCGGGATTTCTCCGGCATTTTCCTCATGGTTTTCCGGACCGTATTAGGTGGAACTGGACTCGCCTGGACTGGCTTAGGCTGTGCGGCTGGAGTTATTGTGTTGCAGTCCACTGCTCTGTGCCCGGGTTTTCCACACTGGAAACATATAATGGGAGGTCTGTTTGTTACTGTCTTTTCTGTTGACCTTGCCGCCAACATCAAGGATCCCGGAGAACGGCGCACTGTACGGTCGAGGAAATGGCGTGGTCTAGCATTTCCCTCATCTCTGGGTCTAAGGTCCCTCAACTCCGCTTCTAGTTCTGTAGCGGTTTGATACCAGGACCACAGGCAGCGTTGTAGGCCTCGATATACACATGCCTGCCAGATTGATCCATCTAAGCCGGTCTTAAACTGATATAGTCTCTCTGGCCAGTCTCTTAGTTTTCCTGACAACCGCCAGGAAATATCGTATATAATCAGCAACTGGTCGTAATGCCATCAACTCCCCTTCAACCCTTTGTACCCGGGTCAGATCCTCACACCGTTCTCGGAGGGCATCCAAAAAGAGGCCACAATGCCGCAACTGTGGACTGTGTTTGCTGTAGAGGTCCGCAGCCCAATCTGCAGCTTCTCCCTCCAAGACCCCTGCAATGGCCATCACTATGGCCCATTGTGAAGTGTTCAAATGGCCAATTCGGTCCATATGCTTTATCACATGACCCAAGAAAATGGCTACTTTGTCTGGGTTACCATCGAAAGAGACCTTCAAGGAGGGAGGCTCCCAAGGACCCCCCACTATAGCCTTTCTTGTCCACTTCCAGCTGACCAAGTATACACTGGATGGGCACTAGATACTGCCTGTGGCGGCCAACGTCGACTTCCGTTGTCACTTAGCGGTTCCCTTTGCTGTTTGGGTGGAAGCCTTGAAGGCAATTGTGGGTCCAGCTCCCTGCCACTGGCCTGGGTATATTCCTGGGATGCACCCAACCTCAACTTTGGACTGGCTAGACAGAAGCGAGGGATAGGCTGGGAAGGGGGCTGTGATGTATTCCTGCTATCTGACTAGCCGTCTTCTCTGTTCTCTTGATAACCAGAACTGCTATCACGGAAGCTAGCCTCCCCAAACCACTCCCTCAGACAATCCATCGTCTGGCTACCCAAGGCAGTAGGAGAAGCTCCAATCATCTCTTCATCTTCAGTCACCCTCCTTTCTCTCCACCGAGTGAGGTGACCCCCCTGGGGAGAAGGCACAGGTAGTTCTGAGCTGATTGTTTACCCCGTACACTTCCACCACTCATTCACTGACACCACTGGTTGATATGTAGGAATAGCCCCAGTGGCAGAGGCCTGGTCTACTAGGGACTCTCCTTACGTCTTACAGCTACCTCTGTTTCCTCCTCCTGTGTTGGAATGACCAAATGACCAAATGAGTGACCTCAGGTAGGACCACTGCTGCTGCCTCTGCTCCTTCAGACATCATTCAGACCAAACACGAACTGAAGTGAATTGATAGGGGGAGAACTGACTTTTCTGTCACGTTCCGGCGTTCACTTTGCATACAAACAGAGATTCA